ATTTGCAGACGATCTGGAAAATTGATTTACTCCGTACGATTTTGCAAGACAGGAAGATCGAACCACAATTTCTAGACTCTGATTCTTATTTGGTCCTCCTAATCATATAAAGCGATTGGCCTCTTCAATAGCTCCTGTCATGGATAAGATTGATGATAAAGTTGCAAAGTCACTCCCTAACTCTGTCATTGCGCAGCTCTGCCTTCTATTCAAAAAGGGTAAAGATTCGTGCTCGCCTATGTCCCACGGGCCATTTTTGAGCGGATCATACTTAATAGGCTCCTGGATATTGACACGTTTAGTGACGCTTTACCAAACCATCAATATGGTTTCCGTAGTCGCCACTCAGCTATTGAACCGGTTCACAGAGTCGTGAACCACATTCTACATGCTTAAGAAGGTCATAAATATTGATCCGCTTTTTTTAATGTCAGACAGGCTTTTGATAGGGTTTGGAATGAAGGTCTTTTCTACAAGCTAATGCCACTGTTGCCTGAGGGACTCTGGAAGCTCGTTGTGTCATTTCTCGACAAAAGGATGTTTGCCGTTGACATTCGTGGACATCTTTCTGTACTACGTCAAATTCGAGCTGGTGTGTCTGACGCTGTACAGAAGAACATTTTGCTATTTGCTCTAAGGCGCCTAAACTGGGATGCAAACCATAATTTTCGTTCTTGTTTTGGTAGATTACGAGGGCAGTCCGATAAGTACTTAGACTCACCGCCCGATGGCGTCACTATCGCAAGAGAAATTTACTATCGTGTAGTACATTCTCGTAGACGGCTACTGTCGAAATTTCAGCCGAATCGAACTTGTAGTTTTGTTTTGACTGCGTGTGGCATCGCACGTGCCCGCGAATTTTAGAAAAATTGAGAAAGAGCAATACCGTTCTGTGATTCGATTCTTGTTTTTGGAAGGGAAATCGCGCAGCGAAATCAAAAAGCGCTTGGATGCTGTGTACGGTGACTCTTCTCCTTCGATGGCGACCGTCAACAATTTTTTTTACCGAGTTTCAAAGTGGTCGCACGTCGGTTTTGGATGGGCCCCGAAAATGGCTACCACGGAGGATAACGTGACAAAAATCCACGATCTCGTATTGGCAGACCGGCGATTGAAGATACGCGAGATAGCTGAGAACGTAGGCATGTCAAAAGACCGCGTGGGTCATATCCTGCATGAAATTTTGGGCATGAGAAAGTTGTCGGCGCGATGGGTGCCGCGTTTGCTCGCCAGACCACTTCAGAGCAGTGTTTGACGCTGTTTAAGCGCATACCGAAAGAGTTTCTGCGTCGTTTTGTGACCGTCGACGAAACATGGATCCACTGGTACACACCAGAGTCCAAGGAACAGTCGAAACAGTGGACTTCACCCGGCGAACCTGCTCCGAAGAAGGCGAAGACTGTCCCATCGGCCGGAAAGGTGATGGCCACCGTTTTTTGGGATTCACAAGGTGTATTCCACATGGATTCGCCGCCGAATTGCAGAAAATACGGCCCCATTTGGCGAAAGCACCGGCTCACACTACCGCCCTGGCCAAGGCCAAATTGGTCGAATTGGGCTACGAACTGCTACCCCATCCACCATATTCTCCAGATTTGGCCCCGTGTGACTTCTTTTTGTTTCCAAACTTGAAAAAGTCACTCGCTGGACAGAAATTCGAATGAGGAGGTCGTCGCCGCCACAGAGGCCTATTTTGCAGACCTCGAGAAAACGTATTTTTCAGAAGGGTTAATGAAGTTGGTTAATGAATTTTCGTTTTTCTTTTTGAGGCTAAGTACTTACCGGACCAATTAGCTTACCCTCTTTAGCCAACCCCGGGACGATGTTGGAGCAGTCTCTATTTATAACCATATTCGAGGCGAAATCGATAGTCCCGACTTGGTTGCCAACTTACTTTTCTGTTCCATGCAGATTAACTAGAAATTACATTCCCCTAATTTTAAATCGTTGTAGATCTAACTATGAGCTGCATGAACCTTTCAAGGTACTATGTTCTGACCATAGTAGACTTTATCCTATTATCTCATTATCTGACTGCAGAAGGAAGCGTTTCCGACCCCATAAGGTATAGATATTCAGGATCACTAGCCGAGTCGATCTAGCCATGTCCGTCTGACCGTCTGTCCGTCTGTCTGTCCATGCGCAAGTTTGTTTCAGCAATGTGCCACGCCCACTTTAAAGCCCACAAACCGCCCACAAACTTTAAAAAATCGTAAATATGAACGTTGATATCTCGGAAACTATCAAAGATAGAGAATTGGGATTCGATTCCGTAGCCTTGTACGCAGCGCAAGTTTGTTTCGAAAATATGCCACGCCCACTGTAACGCCCACAAAACGAAATGAAATTTATTAGTCTCGTCAATACCTATCGATTGACCCCGAAAAAAGTCACTCTAACGCCCATAACGCCTAAATCTGTCTACCGCTCACATAACCATGTATTGAGATCGCGGGTAGGTGGCACATGTCAATCTCGCTTTACTGCTTGCATATCTTCATTTCTTTATGGTTCCTTTAGCTAAGTAACGGGTATCTCATAGTAGAAGTACTCGACTACAGCGTTCTCCCTTGTTTTTTTATTTTTTGTGCTATCTCGCTAACTTAAAGAAAAAACCAGAGAAGTGTCAGTTCTTCAAACAAGAGCAGCTGTACCTGGGAAATAAAAGTCAAGGGAGAAGTACTCAGACTCAGACAAGGTTTCAGCCATAGCCCAGTTATACCTATCTTCAACAGTCCGCAGCTTAGGCGTGCCATCATTGTACCGAAGTTTCGTACCGGACTACGCACTATCGTCAAGCCGTTAAACGACCTACATTGCGAGGGCGTAAAATGGGCGTTTACGTAGGACCACCAACAGACGTTTAAGGAGGTGAAGGCAAGGCTTGTGACCGATCTTGTGTTGGCATGTCCAGACTTCGAAAGGACATTCATCCTGCAAACGGACGCCATCGTTTACATCATAGCTGCGATACTGGAGGAGAAGACGGAAGAAGGCAAGGTTGAATGGAGCAGAGTAGAATTATTCGACAATGGAGAAGAAGAGCTTGGCCATTGTCTGGGCAATACACAAGCTAAGGGCCTAAGTAGAAGGCCACTACATCAAGTTTGTAACGGATCCCCTGACACTGAAGTTGCTGATCAGCATTGAAAGCCTAAAGGAAGAATATCCAGATTGGCCCTGGAGCTGCAACAGTACGACTTTGACTATGTCCAGACAACCGGTGCCGGAAACTCTCTGGAGAACGAAAAAATCTGTGTCGAATGGGAAGTGCAACTGGATAAGTGACATGCGTGAAAAAATAAAAGCACAGCATTAGAAATTCCCGGACTATGTGTTTGAAGGCGAAACGCTGTATAGGCAAATCGCATACCGAGTCAGCAACGAAGATATGGTGGTCTGAAAGCTGTGCGTCCCTCCAGAGCTAAGGAAAACCGTCTTGCAAGAGAATCACGACTCCCCAAAGGCCAGTCAGGCATTCAAGAAGTGTCTGAACCGGACTGTGAAAACAATGATAGCACAGTTTGCCTGACAAACCCAGAGGAACTGGGATAAAAGATGCCCAGAGGTTATGTTGGCGGTTAACTCAAGCGTTTCCGAGTCAACTGGTTACTCGCCTTCGCTCCTAACACAAGTCAGAGTGGCGCGGCTGCCAAACGCCTTGTACGACCGGGAAACATTGGGTACAGGAAGGCAGAAGGTAAATCTAGAGAAGGCAGCCCCGGATCAAGCCACGCAAAGGATCGGCATTTCGGAGAACCAAATGTCGAAGGCGGCAGCAGGACTCGCTGCGAAACTAGCACCGAGATATGAAGGTCCGTATCAGGCGGTCGATTTTGTATCCCACGTGATCGCCACCAAAGATGTAAAAAGAAACATCAGCTGTTTTAAGCAACAAGAACAGGCGGACGAAGCACAGATTACGGAACAGAATGGGGCACTACCTTCCGAAACGAAGTTGTGCCCAGCTGAATGTAGATTCGGTAGCCGTTCCTGAAGTGACCGTCGAAAACAACGACGGGTGCAGGAGGCCGAGCCGCCAACATATAGATACAGATGTAGACGAAGCGGACAAGACAGATTTAAAAAACTGCTCACTTGTCATCCGATGAAAGGGGGGAGACAGTAGAGCTCGATAGCTATACTATACGGACATTCGAAGCGGACAAAAACGCGCACTCGCTATATATAAAAATATACATTTGCAATAGCTCAAAGAAAAGCAGAGAGTGAGTACAGGTTAACCTTTAATGCAAACTCACCACGGCTAAGCGGGCCTAATGACAGAACAACAACCAAGCTGAAAAACAATCAACAGCTAAACCCGATAGGGGCATTGACCCCTACCGCAAGGGCATTTAAGGGCATGAGACCAGGGTAGCTTGCGCTGAAAAAGGATGCAAGAACTAGAAAACAAGAAAAAAACATCAAAACCAGATAGGTGCACTTACCATGTCAGTTCACCATATGCAGAGGGAAGGGCGCGCCTCGATAGGCGATAGATGGGCTGACTGGGTGATGGAGTCGATCAATGGGCAAGAAAATACTGGAAATATCGGCATATTTAAGGTCACACTGGGATATGTCGCATTAATCAAGTGGCAACGCTGCCCCATACAGAATATCGATAAAAGCGAGAGAGAGTTCTAGGAGTTTATGGAGGCAGCTACAGAAACGCGAGTACCGATGAAACATATTGAAGCGGGAAATTTTAAAGTAGACGGAAACATCGGAGAAACGAGGAAATTTATGTAGGGGAGAGAGGGGATAGGTGAACCACTTTTTTTTATTAACATTATTATGTCTGAACAATTCGACGTAAGGGTCTGCTGTACATAGAAATCTAAAAGAGCCCACATTCCTTGGAATATTAAGTATTATGCAAAAATACTATCTTTTGTTTTGTAAAGTTTATTTGCTTTCCAAATTTTTGTTTTAAATGGTTCAGGTATCCCCACCCGTGGGGATAGTTGAACCACCTATCAGGATAACACAAAAACTACAATTGTATAAAAAAAGTGTAATTTATTTCTTTGTGCATGCCTTCTTTCTGTTCGAATATAAACATTGCACCTTTACAGCATGAAATCAAACATTACAATATTGCTATTTATTCTTATTTTTGTTTTTATTCTTTCTTTTTTCGAAGGTTTTCTTGAGTTTTCTGATTGTGTTTTTCCGCGATCAATTTTTCTGCGGTGAGTCTGTAGCAATGATACTCCTTCCTCGTTTTCTTCCCCGAGTCGTCTGTTTTCGTGGTTTAGCCTTTGGGTACCCTCGTAAGTCCTCCTGGTTCATGTATCCCCACAAGTCATTAGCCAATTAGAAGTGATTTGAAGAAAACATGAAATATTTAAACTGCGTGAGCTATCCGTGGAAATATTATAATTTGCGTCTACTTACGATAAAATACAATTTTATGAAGTTCAATACCACTGGCGAAGCACGATAAAATTTTTCCAAGAAAACGTTAGGTCACAATTGAAGGTGCAAACGGCGAATACAAACTTCGATTAGCGATAAAAACGACAGCAATCGTTTGACGCGACTGTGCGTGCGTGTGAGGTTAGGATATCGACTAAGTAAGCAACACACATATAGATGGCGCACAAAATCATGATAGAAGGTGAAATATTTGTAGTGGTTCTTCTATCCCCGTGGTTCACCTATCCCCACTCTCCCCTATACGAGGAGGTCGTCGTGGAAAGCCAAGTGAGACTGAAGATAGGTGCAGTGAAGCTCATCAGGGAGCTATAGGCGTCAATGAAAGGACCGCATGAACTCAAAGGCTACAGAGATACACAGGATAACAGTCGTAGAGGAGAAATGAAAACTCTCAAGTCTCTGAAAAAAACATCGGAGGGTGAAACTGGTTAAAGAGGAAGAGCGAGAGGACTCAAAGGCTACAAGGAAACACAGGATGAAAGCCAGGGAGGAGGATCGAGCTTAAATTCATCAAACGACGAAAGGGGGAAATGTGGGTAGTTAAAAAACTCAGCACAAGTAAATCAAAGAATAACAGTATGTAGGTCTGCCAGTTGCTAAAACGCAGCGAATTTGAGTGGTAACTTCAAAGCGGAAGAAGAGAGTTTGGAGAATGCAGTTAAAAGAAGCTGGAGAGTACGAAAAAAGACAGTTTGGAGAGTTCAAAGAATATGAAGATAGAGAGTTTGGTGAGTAAGGAGCAAAGAAGCTTAGAGAGAAGCGGAGAGAGAGGCGACAGAGCGAGACAGCAGAAGTATGAACGAGACAGGGAGAGAGGGAATGAAAGAATGGTACATCGACGCACATTGGACTTTAGGTCGAGTGGTAAAACCACGGACCTTGGACCCTGGGCTAGTGCTGGGTACAGAGGAAACAAGAGAGACCGTGGATTAACGGTACCAGAAGGTAAGCGGGAAAGCTTGACCAGTCAACGAGATTCAGAATGCGGGTGAACATCGTCAAGTAAAGTCAAAATCAAGGAGATACAGCCATGAAAGTCAGCCAGGAGCTAGATCGCTACGTCGAGACGTTCGGTACAGCATAAGTATCTGTATTAGGACACAGGGACTGAGGTTCTTAAGGGCAAATACACGGCACGTAGCTCTAGGTACGTCGAACGGTTGCTCGAATAGTTAAGCAGGAATTGAGCAGGCGTGGCATCAATCCTGACGTGGAGACGTGACGTGGAGACGTGACGTGGAGACTAACGCACAAATCTACTGAGCTAGCCACACGAAATTCGTAGCGAGCAAATATTGAAAAACAGTTCGTTACAACGGCGTTTGGTTAAATTTCTGGAAATCGGGTAGAGTTTTGATGGACATTTCAGTTGCCTTACTTTGCGACGATGCATAATGAGCGTTTTTAAGAGCTTTGGTTTCCGTCTCTCCTACTCCTGCTTTCCTTCAATTCTTTTAAAATTGTTTAATTTCTTTGTCATCTCATTTTAAATTCTTTTAAAAATTTTTAAAAATAAAAAAATTAACATTTTTCAGCTATTATTTAATTTAAGTTTTCAAGAAAATTTTAAAATTTTGTGTGATTTCGACGAACTGGCAACTATTGTTAAGTCCTGAACACGCTTAGAGCCTCACAGCCTTGTTGAGTTGAACATTTCGCGAAACAAAATGACGCTTGACCCGAAAAATGTTCAGAAACAAAGGCATTACTGTGAATTATCGCGACCTCGTGAACTTAATCAGGCGTGTCGAGCGTGAAGGTGGTGTATTATGCACAGTTTAAATTTAATTTTTTTAAATGTGTTCTGTCGTGTAATTATCTTCAACACTTTACTAAGACGATACTTTTAGACAACAGGCGACAGTTTTCTCGTCCAATTGCTTGCAGGGTGTATTGGCGAGAACCTTATCTGTGCAACACTCCACTGTCTGTTCTTACGAATTCTCTAGACTAAGACTTATGATTTTTGAATAAAGGAAATAGTTTAGAGTTTCGTTAACTTACAAAACGGTTGTGATTTGCCCACCGTTAAAGGTCTTTAACGAGAAGACCCTTGCAGGTCGATCCCATGGGAGCATTGTATAAAGCGTTCCAATTATTAGAAAACTAAAAAATAATTACAGAAATGTTAAGATAATAATACATTTTAATTTACTACCCTAGATGTTTAAGGAAAGCGAAATATAACGGTCTATGTATTATTTTCCTATGACATATAGTATATAGTATATAGTATATAGTAGTTCGATTTTTATTAAACTATTAAAAAAAATTTTATAATCCGCAATAGAAGATAGTATAATACAAAAAAGAAGCTATAATTATTTACCCATTAATTATCCGATCGTTCCTATGGCAGCTAAATGATAAGATGTCCGATTTTTTTTTCAAATTTATTTTCGAAATTTTAAAAAATTAAAGGAATGGCATTCTTAAGAGTAGAAGTTAATATCTCAAAAAACACCAAAGCTATAATTTGTATGCCCTGGCAGAGGGTCATCGCGATAGCTTTAAAGCTGAGAGACTAGTTTGCGTTGAAACAGACATTCGGACATGGCTAGATCGACTCGTCTAGTGATGCTGTTCAAGAATATTGTAACGAACTGATTTTGTTGGTCTGCTCGCTACGAGATTCGTGCTTCTAGCTCAGTAGATTGTGTGTTCATCCAACCAAATATATAGAGTTCACAGAGTTAAAAGGTTCACAGTGTTTGACTTATTAAAGCGGGTGGGTGGTTCGGTTGACCTCGGTGTCGCCATACGCCGACTGATGATGGTCCTTTTGGCTCGTCGAGGAGTGGTCTCAGTGATCGCTCGCCTCGCTGACTCCGTGCTCCGGTCCTGTAGTTCAATATGCTCCTGGTGTCGCTTGCCTTGATTGCTCTCCGACGCATTGACCCGAAGGCCGCTTGTCACGCCTTGGACTTGCAGAGAGGTCGACCGTACCGACTTAAGGAAGCGTCACCGTGCTTAGACTGGGATGAACAGGTGCCTCGCCTCGACAACGCCTTTCGAAACAACGACCCCCTGTCCCTTGCTCCGTCCCGATCTGCCCCACTAGGGTTTTGCTCAGTTCGCGCTGACGGTCAAGACTTACGCCAGGAAGCTGTCTAACAGTTCACTTCGCTTTAAGTCTAGTGCAGACAAAGGTTCCACCCTAACATCACCCCATTGCCTGTCGATCGTGACGTTTCTTCGCTGATCAATGAGTTCTCCGCCTCTATCGTGATGTGTGCTCTGCTCCTGGTCGTGCTTGCTGCGAGGCTGGACGTATCGTGGTCCCTGGCTATCGGGGTTTCATACAACCGCTAGGCTTCTTCAGGACAGCGCCTCATGAATACCCCAACCGGTCAACTGCTCGTTCTTCCTGGCTGGTAGCGTGATTCTCTGGCTCTCGGTGTCTCGGTGAGATGCCAATCTGGGACTTCGCTGGGAGCCGCTGGGCTCTTCAGGACAACAGCTCTCCAAATCACAAATCGACCGACCACTCGCGCCAGGACCTGCTCAATGCCCACTCGACGAACTGGGCGCACGCCGGGTCACGCCAAACTGGTGTTTGGGCACACTGGGCCTAAACAACTTCCCCCCGAGCTCGCGGTTCCTCGACCCGAATTTTATTGCTCAACTCTGGTCCAAAGTTAACGGCAGAGTACGAAGGCCGGCCAGTTCCGTTATTTTCACTTGCCTTACGACACCCACACTCTGCCCTCGAAGTTTGCATTCTCGCACTCTCTCTTAACTCTTGTTATTTAAACGCTATTTCTCCAATCTCTTATTCTTCATTATCTCGTTTTTCAACTCTTCAAACTCTCATCTTCCAATTTCTCTCTCTCCAATCTCTGTTCGCCTTGCCGTTACTACGCGCTAACTCGCCGCGTATCTGGTATCGGGCAGGCCACCATGTGCAATTTGTGGAAGTTATTCAACTTCTTACAATATATACTTTATGGTGTCGAAAACTTCCCAGCGTTGAACATGAAAGTGAGCTAAGTTATTTTGCTTAAAATAATAATCATAAGCAGCTTTTTAATTATATTGGACACAAGTTTACATTAACAGCACTTGCATGCACCAAACGGAAATATTTTAAACAAAATAGAGTATCACTATTTAAAGGAAAAGGTAAAAACTCAAAATTCTTTTGGTTAATATATATTCGTTTATATGTTGTATGATGTATAACTTCCAAGTCGCTCGGGACGTTCGTACACTTTTAAAATAAAAAAAAATTAAAAAAATGAACGATTTTAACAGGTACACAGCCAAACATTTCCATGAAACCATTCTAGTTTTCCATGATAATTGGAATCTCCTGAGTAAAAGTCTGATACAAACATGTGATCCATAACCTTTCACTGTATAGCCAAGAACATCTTAAATACTTTTAAACTTTTTTTTAGAATGCTCTCCAATAATGACACAGTGATATAGATTTTGATTGACTAAAAAATTACAGTTTTCAAATTTATTTTTAAAGGCCGCTAATCTCTAAAGATCTATATTTTGATAGGGTGATAATTAAGGGACCCTCAGCCCAAACCGAAAGAGCTAGAGCAGCCAAATATTTACTGAACATTTTATAAGGAACCTAGGTGCCCACTACGATTCGATGTCTTCACAGTTGTTCCAAACAATGCCAAAATAATGAAATGAGCAACGTAAATAATTTTAAATGCTCCATAACTATTTTGAAAGATTTTTTTTAGTTTTGTTGCGGTATTGCGCGCTTTGAAGAAAGCGGTAGCCAAGAGACACGAGATGGATTTTCCTTCGTCTTTCGCCGAAATGATGACACGCGGGGTACGGCTGCAAGAGAAAGGAAGGAGCAGCTTAAGTTGAAAACATTTGTATGTTTTGATTTTAAGTTTTTTTAAGATGAAGAACAAATATAGGGTCCCAATTAACGTTAGCAATGGAACAGAATAAGGAAAATTATTAAGAACCCTGTAAGCGAATGCGAAAAGTTTTAAAGTTATTTACAAAATTTAGGGCAATCATTTTTGACCAAGTTCGGCAACGTGTATTGATGAAGCAAGCAAAACCAAAAACATTGATTTTTGTTAAAGCCACGCCTGTGCTAACCGCCAGCGCTGCGCTTTCGAGACCACCACCCTACTGTCGGAGGATTCTTAAAACTCTTGGTACTATACTGTCGAACGATAGACAACCCACGCAGTTCGACTCTGGTGGAATGTTTTTTACGCGGACATAGTTCGGTGGGCGAAGTTTGACCGCGCAACCTAGGTTTAGATCAAAAGAAGCTTTAGTTTCTAACGTCGAGCCCCCCTACGTGTGTTTCGACCCGGCGGATTACCCTTTCGAACTAGCAGGAGAGCGATATCAAGACCTGCCATCGTAAAACCTTTCATGCGTTCCATGCAATTCCATTCCATCCATTCCCCTTCCAAATCCATAGTTGACATGAATTTTTGAGCTTAATCTAGAAAGGCTTCCTCAATTAGGAAGCTAAATAAATCTTATAACTAACCATGTGCGTTGGAATCAAAATAAAGTAATTTTCTTTAGTAAGGGCACCTAAGTACTAAACGTCGATTCTGAATTGGGTAGGATCATGCAATACTCTTAGATTCTAAAGTCTGGGTGGGCCCAGAAATTGGAGAAAGACCCCATCTTAGTTCTTCTGTCTAATTGTAAATACGCGACTTAAGAATTGTTACCATGGTTTATAAATTCTAGTATTCCTCACTGCTTACAACATTGGTTCATGTAGCGCCTATGTGGAAGCAGCCCCAAATAACCCACACCACTTTTTTTGGGAAATCAGGTAGATTTTCAGCGCTGTTACGTCCACAAATACTCGGTCCTTTCACTGCCTTCTAGTGCTTTTTAACACTGGGTAAACGATCTTCCGTCCCTTCCTCTTTCGCTAATCTGAATGCACTGCAGGTGATAATGGAGAGACCGAGGAACTCCGTCTTGCGCGCCATTATTATTGTTTTTCAGCAATTTAAAGTTCACATCAACCTAATCGGAATTAGATAATTGAAATTGGTATTAAGTTTTTGGAGATATAGAGGGGGAGACAAAAAGCACAAATTGCTTAAATTGTACTCTCCACTCTGATCTCTCCCTTCCCAGAAGTGTCTTCTGCGACACATCCAGAAGTGACTACGGCGACACTCCCAGAAGTAACGCAGACGTGCCGAAGTGGCAAATTTTTTCCGGACGGGTCACTTCCGCGATACGAATGCAATGTTGCTGAAGTCAGTTGTGGAAGTGCCGCCGAAGTTACTTTTAGAAGTCACTTAGAAGTGACTTTACAGGGGCTTGTAGAAGAGATTTTCGCAATTGGAAAATCTTGAATGAAAACAATTTTTTTACTTATTTTGCAATATTTTGCATTTACTATACCCGGTACTCGTAGCGTAGAAGGGTATTCTAGATTCGTCGAAAAGTATGTAACAGGTAGAAGGAAGCGTTTCC